ATTTTGTAAAAATTTTATTAATAAATTGTTAAGTAATAAACGTTGAAATCAGCTATAATTTCAAATGATCGGTAAATAATCGGCAAGTGGTCGGATATTTTTTGGAGGGGAGTGTATGTTCTGATTTTTATGTAAAATTATTAAAGGTATTTTAATTGAATCATTTATTATGTAGGTTTATGGTAATAACACTGGTTGGAGTACATCTCGAAGCTAAAAAGCATGACTTAAAAGAGACTTTAAAGGCTTTGCGAGATGTTGCAAAAGCTTTGAAGTTTTCATATGATCGTTACATTTTTCATTGTAATGTTTTGTATTTAAATATTATTGTTTACAAAAAAAAGGTTATCTTATTGATTGGGGTGTGACATCGACTGTTTCTGAACTAATAAGTGCACCATTGACTAGAACTTATCTTTTTTCTTCTTTTTCGGTATGTTTATTCACATATTATTTGTGTATCGATATATATAATCATACTATTTGAATTTAGGTTCTCATGAGCTTTAAAACTGGAAAACCTTACACGTATTCAGCTATTGATGAAATCAAATCTTTATTCTATATATTTATGTACATAGCTTGTGATGGAATTGTCAGTTGGAAAAAGCATTCAGATTTATTAACAATTATCACAATAAAGTATAATGTTATATTCTGTCCACAGGAATTTAATAGACACTTGGCTAACTATGCTCATAACGAATTCCACAGACATTTATCAGCATTTTATAAAATAATTTTTCTATATGGTAATGATCTTGAAAGCAGAGAATTATCGATTGAGAAAATCATTGAAATTTTCGAAAATTGGATAAATGAACTTTAATAGATATTATTTGTAATATTATTATTAATGTCTTTGTAGTGAAAATATATGTAATAATTAATACTGTATATGTAAATAAGAATACATGCAACTACTGCTATATTAAAATAATAAAACATTAGCACAACTCCTAATAAATGAATAAAATGAATAAAATGAACAGATTAGCCATTTTCATTCAGTAATAACAGTCTATAGAATTTATATTTGTAGCTAAATGAATCATGATCAGTTTGTATTACATACATATAATCGAAAAGAAGTTATGTATGTTAAACAGCATCTCTATTTTTTCTGTAAACACGAGAAAATTTGAAAGTGTAGTTGCAACACAGATAATAGTGATGACAAAAGCATATGTTGTGACTATGTATTTTAGATCTATACGAATTAACTAACTTTGATTTACGCAAGATCACTATTCCAAAATTCTGTATTTATTCCTTATTCTCTGTTAATCATATAATCATTGACTGGATAAGCTATTCTCTTACTATTGCAGACTAATAAAAATTGAATCTGTTGGGTTATAAATATTTACATGAAAGCATGGGCCTCCTCATGTATAAAGAAATGAATATAATTACTTTTAATTGTATTGTTATAGAATCTCCTGAGACTGTTTTGATATTTTCATCAATAAGAATAAAAGTATTCTTAGGCTTAAGGATGCAATCAAAGAAAAATTATAGAATACATTTCAGAATATAGATACTATTGGCATTAAACTATAGAATGTACAAGTCGCTCAAGATGATTTGAAACTTAAGCAACTTAGAGACCCCAATGTATTAGTTGATAGTGTATTAGATAAAGAAGAGGTAAATGAAGTATAGCATGTAACAGATAAGATCAAGGATCACTTCAAGGTATTGTTTAAGGTAAATGTATAACCCTTTAGCAGTATAGGAATCCAATATAATATTTTTTTAACTTTACTAGTTTCACTAATAATGATATCCAATTTAGGCAAAGAAAATGATACTCTGTATGCAACATTTCATTTAAGAATATCAAGCTTTTGAAAGATCACGAACATGATGTTCATCATCGAATTCTTTCAGATGAATATCAGATTAATAATTCTGATGATGAGGATAAAGAAGATCCTAAACTAACTTTTTTAATATCATAAGTAGAGACCATTTAGTCATGGATAATAGTTGTTATAATAATATTGTTAGTAAGATGAATAAGGATTACTAAAATGTAACAGTGATATATTTGTAATTTTTATTTTTGTATAAATTATTGCTTTTGCAATTTTTTTATTTTATAAATAATAAAGAATTGATAAATTATATTTCTTATTAAAAGTTCTGTGAATTAATGTGGGATGCTAATATCAACAAAATAAAATCTTTTATTCTTTTAACAAACTCAGACAGACTCAACCATCAGAAATAATAATATTTTTCTTGTCAATCTACAGAAGATAAGCTACTCTCACTCTGATAGCTTTTTTTTTTAATTAGCCAATCATCTCGTGATTTATAAAAACTTGCTAGCTCCTGAAACACTTCTAGAACTATCGAGAAACTGGCATAAATTTAGAGAGATCATATGTGATACAAATTTTAGCTGAAGGCACTGTGCATAATTTAGCTAAATCAAAAATTATAATATCTGTTTTCTACCCAAACAATTAAATAAAAATAAATTTGGATTTATTGGAGTATAATATTGCTAAAATCACTAAAAACACTATAAAATCAATAAAATCATTAAATATGTCAAGAAATATTGTTAATAGACTTAGGCTTAATAAATTCATTGATATTATTTTAGACAAGATTTATAATAAATCTGTGCCTAAACTCATCAATCTTCGTCCTGAATATAATATTAAATATATTAGAAACCATTATAGTTTTTTTTATCCTGGTCAATTCGAAAAGATGGTTGAGGTCAAAAAAAATATAATAATTTATCTATTATTAGTTTATATAAAATTTCACAGTAATGGGCTATTCGTGTGAAAAACACTTTGCAAGCATTGATTACTTAAGACCATAAAAGCTATTATCATGTATTCTGCCTTTTCAATCATCTGAGCAAGGAGTAATTAAGACATACTATAATAACTATGAAAGGAGAGAAGTTGTCATTAATTATCACAGACCTAATATTCACAGTTGCAAAATGGCTATTTATTTTGATTGTTAAAAATTAATAGAGATCATTGATAAAAAATCAAAAAAGATATATTTCAGTGGATAGCAAAGATATGGGTATGAGATTAAGCCTGAAGACTTAATGAAATATCATTGGGATAACTCATATTTCAAGACTAATAAATATATAGAAGCAATCTTAAAGGGACCAGCCCATCTTCTCACAAGCTTGAAGTCAGAAATATTGTGTAAAAAATCTTCTAACCAGAAGGAGTATTATATTCTGAAAAAAATATACCTGATTTCCTTCTGCAATTTGATATAATAAGTGAAAGTGAAATATTTATTTCATCTTTATATGCAAAATAAAATAACTTAAACCATCTTAATCAGCTAAAAGATACTATATTAAGATTGAAAGATAAAACAAAAATCACGATTGTTTAACTGGTTTAACTAATATAATTTATTTTTTGCATTACATGATGGATGATCACTTAGTAAAATTAGCTAAAGGCACTATGCATGATCTGCTTATTCTGGGTTAGATCTTCTAATTTATAATGAAGTATTATTCAGGAAGATTAATGAAGCGATTTTAGGGATTCTTGATTTCTAAATACTATTAATTTTGACTTTGAAAATTTCTATGCGACAGTTATTCAGCAAGCTTATAGGAATTACAAAAAGGGGCCTGAATCTTTAGTAAAACAAGTTTGAAAGGCAGTAAGAAATGATGGCACTCCTGATGATATGAAATTTTTAGGTATAAAAAATAAAGGATATTATCTTTCAGGATAAATTTGGTATGAGGAATATTGCTTTTCAGCGAAAAATGGTTGGATTTATGAGAAGAAAGTCTAATTATAGCAACGATTATCTTTTGCAACATTCATACTTGTTAAGAAATTATTATATCAGCAAGGTTATATAGTTGTTAGAAGTACATATTAGCTTAATATGTTAAAATGGCTACAGAATTTCAGATATTATAGTATTCATAAAAAGTATAATTATATATACTTCATCAGAATTTCAGAATACAAGGCATATAAGATTAAATCATTAGAAATAAAACCTATATGCAATTTATCATTAAAATATATATATCATATTTACGGAAAGGATATTACCATAAATTTCACAGACTTAGATGATAATTGTGAGTTTGTGCGCTGAATTTTTCAGATAAGACATTGATCTAGATCCTAAATAGGATCCCTGAATACGAAAAATTTTTACATAATGAACTCTGTCTGAAAAATAGGCAAAGTGTACAGTCAAATTTGATTAAAATGTACGACATCAGCAAAAATAAACTTAAAGTGTATGACGAAAATTTTATATTTATTGAAAATTTTAGTTAAAATGTACTATAAAACTATAGAATTTAATTACTATAT